TTTTTTTTTTTTTTTTTAATGAGAGGGTCTCTCTCTGTCACCCAGCCTGGAACGCAATAGTGCAGTTATACCTCACTGCAGCCTTGAACTCTTGGTCCTAAGCAGTCCTCCTGCCTCAGCCTCCTGAGTAGCTGGGACTACAGGCAAGGGCCACCGCACCTGGCTGATTTTTTTTTTTTTTTAAACTTTTTTGTAGAGACAGAGTCTTTGCTGTGTTGGCCAGGCTGTAGTCCCATGGCTGTGCACACGTATGATCATAGCTAAATACAGCTTTGAACTCCAGGCTGTAAGGGATCCTCCTCCCTCAGCCTCCCAGGTAGCTGGGACTACAGGTGCGCGGCAGTATGCCTGGGTAATCTTTTAATTTTCACTTTTTTGTAGAGATGGGGCCTTGTTATGTTGTCCAAGTGGTCTCAGATTCCTGGCCCCAATCATATCTGTTGCTGAAACAGGTCATTCTTTTCACAAAATTTCTATCTTTCTGATAGTTCATAAGAATCATAGTGTTGAACTTAAAAGTAATTATTTATTTACATGCAACAGTGACTATTTTAGAAATTAGGAGAAATAATATATTCCAGTTTGTAAATATTCAAAGAAGAATGAGATATTTATTTAATTTATTTAGATTTTTTTTTTCTAAAAATGATTTAAACATATAAATCTTTAATGTATAAATTAAACCTATAATTCCCAAAGCACTGGGAATTATAGGCATGAGCCACTATGAATGGCCCTATTTTCTTATATATAAAACAGGAATTATGGTAGCTACTTTTTGAGGCTGCAAGATTAAATGAGATGATGTTTGTAAGGCCCCTAATAAAATTGATTTAAGCCAAGCTCTCAGCAAGTGGTTTTAATACCATGTTGGAGATGGTGAAGGAGAACTACTTATGTTAATTGTCTTTAAAATGTCTTAACTTCAATTTTTGGGAAATTTAGCATATCTCAAACAGAAATAAGATGTAAATATATATTCAACACTTTAGTAACAGGATAATTATTCCAACAATGTATTATTTGATCTTAGGTATCAAGATAAGAGAATACATTGTAAGTGTGATAATATAAATAAATGTAAATTCTTTAAAATTTTTTTAAATTTTTAACTTTTGTGGATACATAGTAGATATATATATATATATGTGTGTGTGTATATATATATGAGGTATATGAGATGTTTTGATACAAGCATGTGATATAAACTAATCATCATGGAGAATGAGTTATCCATCCTCTCAAGCATAAATAAATTAAATTCTGATGTTGAATTTATACACCAAATTGTTAGATTTTAGATTTTGTCCTCATT